GTATTCAAACAGCATTACATGCCGAATGTGTGTCTCGTTGTGTGCCATTACTACAAGGGATTAGAGTATAGTAAACTCTACACATTATATAGGGTACACTAACGTGATGTTTAGGCAATTCGTTTAACTATTATACATGATGTACGTTTTTGGGGGTGGGTTAATGAAAATGTTCCAAAATGTGACAATTTCTTGACAACCTAATATTTTGTCCTTTCAGTGCTGTTCCTGTGCATATCTTACTGAATGATATACATAATTTCCTCTTAACAAGAAATATATTGGATTTCAGAGTTTTGTTTCCTTCAGACCGGACATATATCGTTAACACATACTTTATGGACTGGTTTAATCACTAATAAGAGTTTGAAAATGTATTTAATCTGTGACAAAAGGTATTAGAGAATTTTGAACTGAAGTTAACTATATGCAAATTCCTTAGTTTAAAAGAATATGAGAATTACACAGCATCAGAGTTTCATATTTATGGGCACAGAATCTTGATAATTATCCCCTCAGTGAACAGAAATTATTAATAAATGGTAATTTCAGAGCATTTCTTCATCTCTTTTTCACCCTTATTTTTTTGCTTTGTTGTAGTTTGTGGCTGGATTTCTACTTTGCTGTTATACCAAAAACAAGTATATTATTAAACAACCACTCTTGTCATATTAATATACTTATATTAATAAATTTCCAAACCATACATGTTCTGCCAGAAGATGACATTAATTTTTTCTTGTTTCAAAATAATATATCATTATTTAGAATTACATTTGAAAGATATTGAGGTTGGGGGTTCATGGCTTGTTATCTTAGCTCAATATATACACACACAGTAATTTGGACATTCATATACATATGTTACATATATAGATGCTGCAAATGAAGTTGAAGCAGATAATAAACATATTAATGTATACATGTACAAGATAATGTATTTTGAAAGTAATATTTCACCATTTAATAGTTTTTAATCACCATTTGGATCCTATTAGTATCACAATTATACTGTTTGGAATAAAAAGCATATTTTATTGTTGTGGACATTTTAAACATTTGGAAAAAACAAAATGGAAGCAAACACTAATAGGTCAGTATTATTTAAACATACGGTACAGTACAAGTCAAATAAGTAAGAAAAAAAAATATTTATGTGATCATGCATTATGTTATAATTAAGTGTACTAGCAGAAATACTGCACCACTGGTGGATGTTTGTGCTAGTAATTACTAATCATAGTATTCATAACTCATTGAAAAAAAAAGCATTTATAAAAAGTGAACATTTTCTAAAAAAAGGATTTTTCTGGAAAGCACTGCATGGGAAGTGTTTGGATTGTGCTGACAAACTCTGTAATATTTTTATATATTAAAAGTGGTACCCATATATTTTTTAAGAACTCCATTTTTTAGTATTATATTTATAAACTACATCAATAAAGATATAATCAAACTCTCACATACAGTCCTAGTGAAAGTCATGTTCTTGTTTTGAGGAGAGCACTTTTATTCAAAATTTTGTTCTGTGATAATGAAATGGTTATTGCACATACCGTAGTTATTTCTCTAATTTTCTGAATCTTGATTACCCAAAGAGTGAAATTTTATGGATTTATGTTTGTGGTGCCACATTGTATTTATCATCTCGGACACATGTATATACACACACCATCTCCATTATAGTAAGATACTATAAATTACTTGTACAGCTACATTCATATTCACAAAACACAAATACTTTACTTACAATGTAATTCAGCTTTTAGCAGACATCTGCTGATAATAAATGTGCAATTAGAAAAATAAACAAGTGTTCACAAAGAGGTCTAGTAGAAATGTACAACAGTTAGTTAAACAACATAAGGCTCTTCATACCTAGGGCAATAACAGAGCTGACTGGTAAAATTCCATTTTCTCCATACAACCCTACACAAGAGAAAAAGTACTATATTAGGAACCAAATGTTAAACATACATCATTATATAATTTTTTTTTTGCATTTGTTTCATCATAAATATTTTTGATGAACAGCAGCACAAAAAAGATACTAGATATCTTGTTCTAATCATATATGACAAGAAATAAATATGAAATATACTTAAATAAAACAACCAAAACCTTTAATTTTCTTCTATTACACTATAAGTTATATTAAAACGATTGGGTAAAGTATTGGAATGAATTTATTTTTATTTCATATTTTAACACAAACTTAAATTAGGATGCATATTCAAATTTAACCAACTATGAGGTACACATTTTTCTTCATAAAAGTCACTCAAAGCTTGAAGAGTTGTTACTACTATATTTTAAACAATTTGATTTTTAACAGAGAAACAATTTTCTAAGAGGTTTTGTTGTTATACAAATATTTTTCAAAAAGTTTCTTTTTTGGAATTATGAACTACAATGAGAATAGCATCTACAAAATGTATTTTATTAAAATTTGAGGTAATTACATGAATGGGTGAAATACAATTTAACAGTTTCAATTTTTTAGACAACATGTATACTTGTAGATTTTCACAATCTGTCTAATATAGAATTTTTAACTCTGCTCAAACAGGGGTAGATGGACTATTATTAACAAAAACTTTTAGTTCAAATTTAAAAAGATTCAATTCAGAAAAGCCAATATGTAATAGGTATGAGAAAACACTGCTAATGGTGGATAGTCAAAGAAGTCAGATTTAAATGTGTTTGGTTTTCACTCAATCCACAGCACCACTGTAAATGTGGGTTACCCATTAGCACTGAATAATTAATCCTTTTGATTAATAAACATATATATAAATATACATAAATTTATATGATTACTTAATACTTGCATTTTAATTTTATTATTACATACAACTGAGCACAGTTTGTATGTTTACTCACAAAAAGGCACTCAAAACCATTATTCTTGTAATTATCTTATCACACACCTTTCGGGTTGAGTGAGAGAAAGTTAACAAACATTTTCTTTCTTCTCAATGCTTCACTAACAATAATTGTTAAATATATATATACATATATATTACATTTCTAAAATTTTGTATGGTATTCTCAATTTTTTGGTTATCTTTATTTCCAACAATGTTAATGGACTGATTTAATTGATTTCATTGGGTAAGAACTGTGAGTGCTTGCATGTCAGGCCACTCTGGAACATGTAGTTCTTGGAGAGCCTTGTAACAATTTAAGCACAGATATGCTCTCTCATTCAAAATACATCTCTCAGAAATAATCTCAAATGATTTGATATGCATATTTGTTGGTTAGAAACAATGATACAGTACCTTCACAAGTGAAGCAGAGCACCCAAATATAGACAGTAAAAAAAAAATTGTCAATCATTAATACAAGGTGTGTGATCATATGAATAAATAGTGTACAAACATATATAACACACACCATATTGGTCCAATTACAGAGCGATCTCGAATATAAGATGACCCCTATCTTCAGAAACCATGGGAAAGAAAAAACAAATTGAGTGTCATAACATCTTTTTTTTTATGCCCATGAAATGCCTTTCTCTTAGGATGTGTATTAAGAAGTTCAGCCTTTTGTTTCCACCAATGCCTCATTATTTTCAGTTACACCAAATTTTCTAATAGCGATACAACTGTGTTTTTTCTGCCTCATGCTCCACCATAATTTTAAGATTTGCATCATAACTCAGTCATAATCCTTTGTTAATTTGACACTTTCTTGTTCCTTGTCTTTCAGTGTGGTCACTCATTCTTGCACAAGGGTCAATCACTAAAATGAGACTTGCAGACAACGATTATTATAAAATTTAAAACAAGCACAGCTAAAGCAATAATGCAACAGGAAAATTAATACTATAACTGAACAGCCTGCAGGTGGATCAGTTGCAAGAATTAGTGATGACCTTGAGCAAACATCTGGTGTGCATGAGGCATGAGTAAACGAATGCTATCTGGACATTCAGGAATGTAACAGGTTGGAGTAGGGGGAAGGGGTCTGTGGACGGCCATGATTATAAGGACACTGAATTTTACAACCTAATTATTAATTATAAAAACACCTTATAATCAGGCCAATACAATATATACGTACAAACTTTTGCTTTTATAATGTTTATTCAAAAAATTCAACTGAGCTAAATAAGAACTTGCCATTTTTTATTTATTAATAAACCTTGGAAGGGGAGTTTGGCACCAGACAGTATGAGAGAATTACTATTTTTCCATGAGAACTTGCTTCACTAATAATGTAAACATGTCATTAAAGTTAGAATACCTGTGCTCAGTATTTTTGCACTCAAACCAGTCATACTGGTTGATAATTAAAAAACATGTTTAATCGGGAAACTTGTCTATGTTTTGTTTCTATGCTGTTGTTTTTTTAAATGATTTAATTGGAATAATTGATAATCACTCAGTACTATTACTCACTAATGACTCAAAGATTATTATGGAATACTGTTTTCATGAAAACTCACTTGGTAAGTCTGCCCTTTATGCATTACGGTAAATACAGATTTCTTGAAGTTGTGGGGAATGACTTTTTAGTGAATACAGTGTAAAAAATTGGACAACACAAGAGGTTGTTTCCTTGTCTACAGCAGTAAGGTGGATACAGTTAAAAATGTAGTTGTTCATGAGCACTGTAGTTTAGCCTACTATACAGTTCTCAGTTAACAAGAAAAGTAATCAGAAATATTGCATACCCTTGCACTGCTGCTCTTTTTTAAGATTGCATGCATTTATATTGGATAACATCAAATTCAAATTTCACCTTCGAAAACTTGGCAAATCCTTATCAGATCCAGAATGATCAATAATCTGGATCATTTTTTGCAGTGTGATGAGGAGTAGCAACCTTAATATTCCCATAAAATTTGGTACAAATCCAATCACTCTAGAGTTATTAACCCAAAACCACAAAAATTCTCTATTTTCCCCATTATAAAAAATTGTTCAAAGTGATCCAGAATCCAGATTTACATCCAGACCAAATTTGTGGAGGACTGTCCCATATTGACTTCCCATCTTGTGCAAATTTTCATGTACATCGGTCTATTGGTTTTTGAAACACACACGCAGAAACACATAAATGGACCCAACTGCAATATCCCCCCCCCCTTTCCAGGGGCGAGGTTAATAATTCTGTCCTTGACATTAAGAACTAAAACAATTTGCAGGAAGTTATCAGAGATAATAATTAAAAGATTAACCTAAATAGGATAGATGTTTAGCTGATTAGTTTGATTACACTTGCTTAAAAGATATATAGGGTGGCCCAAAATGATCTTTCCTATTTTAAAATTTAATAATTAAATAACTAATGAAATACAACCATGCAGTTTTCAAAATCTTGTAGCCAAACTCACAGTTTTTATTGTAACGTATTTTTTCACTCTAGTGAATAGTGTTACCCCTTAAAATGAAAACCGTGCAAGAAAAGGCTCAATGTGTCATTTAGTTTGCAGAGTCCAAGTCAGTGACTGTGGTGCAAAGTAATTACAGATGCCAGTACAGAAAAGAAGTATGGAGGTATGTTAAGGATATCATATATCACACACCAATAGCAAACATCAGAAAGTTAAAGACAAGGAAAATGGACACCATCACCATAACTGTGGACATGTTGCAGCAAACTTGAATTGAAATCAAATAAGGTTAGACATGCTGACAGCCACTAATGGTGCACATGTAGAAGTCTACTGGCATGTCAATCAAAACTGCTTGAGTTGGGCTACAAGATGTTGAAAAACTACATGGTTGTATTTCCTTAATTAGTTAATTATTAAATTTTAAAACAGGAAAGATCATTTTATACCACTCCAAATATTTAGTCCAAAGCCTCGCAATCTGACCAAAAAGCCATTTCCCATACAATAGATTTGATATAATCACTATCATTATAAGTTTATGATTTGCTATTACCCATTATAGCATGTTCAAAACATTCTCATAGAGCTTAAAATAACAATTAACACTCAGCAAATGACTGATTATATCTAGAAAATGCAGATAAGTTTAAAAAAGTTGTTTACGTTTTTAACAGGCGAAAAATTACGAATGAGAATGATGATTAAAATATTTTATTCACATCATTTGTAATTATTATGTTTGTTAAAATTAAGCTAAACAGGTGTTAAATATCATATTAATAGCATATATGACATGTGAATATCTGTAGCTTACTTGTAGAAATTGTCACTGATCAATATATAAACCATTATTTAATAGATATAGTGCAGAAGAAGAGCAGTATTGTGCTCTTCTAGAATGTAAAGTTATGAATCAATTTTCATAGGAATAACAAAGGATTGACATCATGCAAGCAAGGAAGCTCAACTGGGTAAAACAAAATTTACATACATTATATATTTTAGTTTAATTAGAAAAGAAACAAAAAGAAGTAACCATTTTATGAAAAGTTACTATCTTTCAGATTCTTAGGCTAAAGATAAATTGTGCATAAAGCTAAATTGCATGTTGAACTTCAATTAGTGATAAACCAAGTTATCTTTTAGCTTGATGCACAAAGATTTTATAATTATAGTAAATATTTAATTTTTTAATTGTTGTATTAGCAAATGTAAAAATGTATTAAAAGTTTTTTTAAAAGTGTAGAACATTTAAGCAGGTTGGATTAAAAAAAAACAACATGAAACTGATGTACAGATATTATGCAGGGGGTGTAGTGGGGTGAGAACATGTGGGCATGGAGTACCTGTACTTTTTTTTTTTTACTTTAGCCAGAACGCCATACCACCACGACTTCAAACAAATCCCACCTTACATGGTTAAACACATTCCAGTACTTCTTTACTTAGTATTACATCACTGGATATATGTTTAAACATTAAAAACCTGTGAGCAAAAACTGTTAGGTGATTAAAAATAGCAATACAGTTGTAAAGTTATTGTTAGACTACCTTATGGCAAGTCACTTACACAAATTAA